TGTGTCTGTGTGTACCTGTTGTGTGTCTGTGTGTACCTGCTGTATGTCTGTGCGTCTCTGTGTGTACTTGCTTTATGCTGGGGGGCCCCTGGGTGTACCTGCTGTGTGTCTCTGTGTTTACCTGCTGTGTGTCTGTGTGTCTCTGTGTGTACCTGCTGTGTGTCTGTGCACTTGTGTCTCTCTGTGTGCCCCCCTGCTGTGTTCTCCAGCTGAGCACAGATTTGTGTTTGTTTAATAATTTGCACTCAGTGTTCCCATGTAAAGGATAGGCTGGCTGGTGTGCTGGTGGGGAGAGTGAGAAGCAGGGGATTGGGAGGGAGTGGGAGCTAAAATCTAATACATTTTCTAATTACAATCCAAACTGTATGGAATTGACTGACCCCAATCCTGATTTAAAATCCTATTGTAATCTATGCATTCAATGTGGTTCAATACAGTTTCATAAAATGTGGGTTACATTGTTTAAACATTAATACTTACTGGTTTAGAGTCAATCTCTACTTTAGGTTTGTAACATTAAATGAAGCATACAACTAGCACCTGTAGGATAATGTTTTAGTCATCTCAATACCAAACAATTCCTGCTCTAAAAGTGACTGTTTTTTAGCATAAGGTCGGGGTTTGTATTTGTTCTTTATTGTTTTCATTACCTGAAGATTTTGTACCATCAATGCTTTCTTCGAATCACTGTGATGCTCTGATTAATTCAAACACATTTTTATGATAGATGTATGTTCAATATTGGAATTATAACAGTCCTCTTATAATCAGTGAGAAAATATGAAGTATTTCTCCTGTTAGTGAGGTGCAGAAGTTGGCCATCTATAGGGTGGCACAGTGGCTCAGTGGTTAGCATGGCTGCTTTATAGCTCCAGAGACCTGTGTTTGATTCCACCCTCGGGGTGACTCACTGCGTGGACTTTGCACATTCTCCCCGTGTCTGTGTGGGTTTCCTCCCACAGTCCAGGGATGTGTAGGTTAGGTGGGTTGACTATGCAAAGTTACCCATAGTGTCCAGGAATGTGCATTGGCCATTGGAAATGCAGGGTTAACAGGTACGGAATGGGCTAGGGTGGGAATGCAGTTGGAGTGGACTCAGTGGGCCATTTAATAGAAGTGAGTCCAATTCTTTTGCAAGAGTCCGAGCATCAAAACTAAACCATAACTTTGTCCTTCCATAGACCTTGTGTGTTCAATGCAGTGTCTACCATTCTCTTTTGTTTGGTGAATGCAAGACCCACACAATGCAAGGGTGCAATATTCAAGGAGATGGCTATATTGTTACTCGGTAATTCTTGTCTGGAACTTTCCAGAAATTGGAATCAACTTGCATCATATGATTTGCGATAGCCTTGTCTTAGTCCAGCAAAGTTGATGTTAAAACTTCAACAAGGTATAACTGTTAAAACAATTTGTGATCCGTCTTCATGTCTTGTGGACATGACACAAGAAACAGTTACGCAGTAACAGTAAGGAATTAATTAATTAAAATGAATTTTAAAATTTGGGATATCTTTCATTGTTTTTAAAAATATTTGAAAATAATTTTTTGGAGAATAAATATTGGCCCACATAATCTGAAAAACTTTGACCTGGAATCAATACTGACAGGAAGGAAGTTAAGATATGGAGGCCATGTATCAGCGATGTATGAAATGAGAAGGCAGGAGCTGGACAAAGGAGTAGGACAACAAATTGAGTCAGCAAGCTAGATTCTGGAACAGCCAGAAAGCTCGCTCGGGAAGGAGTTACTGCAGCTGTTTCGTTCACTTTCTGAGTGATAAAATGACCTGAATCATGCCATACAAAAGTGAAGATGATTTTGGTGTGTGCTAACCCAATTGACAGGAGCTGATAAAATTCCAGCTTGACATCTCCTAGCATATCAATAAGATTTGTAGTTTTCATCATCTGGAGTACTGATAACAGTTTTGGTCCCCTTAATTGAGGAAGAATTTACGAGAACTGAAGATAGTTCAGAGAAGGTTCACTCAATTAATTCCGGAGATGAAAGGTTGGTTTTATGAAGAGAGATTGAGTTGTTTAGTTCTATATGCTCAGTAGAATGAGAGGAAATCTAATTGACGTATATAAGATGCTAAAAAGGGTAGACAAAGTAGGCATAGAAAAGATGTTTTGACATGTAGGGCAATATAGAATGAGAGGTCAGAGGTAGTAGGAACTGCAGATGCTGGAGAATCCGAGACAACAAGGTGCAGAACTGGATGAACACAGCAGGCCAAGCAGCATCATAGGAGCAGAAAGGCTGACGTTTCGGGCCTAGACCCTTCATCAGAAATGGGGGAGGGAAAGGGGGTTCTGAAATAAATAGGGAGAGAGTGGGAGGCGGATAGAAGATGGATAGAGTAGAGGATAAGTGGAGAGGAAACAAACAGGTCGAAGAGGCGGGGATGGAGCCAGAAAAGGTGAGTGCAGGTGGGGAGTAAGGGAGGGGATAGGTCAGTCCAGGGAGGACGGACAGGTCAAGGGGGCGGGATGAGGTTAGTAGGTAGGAGATGGGGGTGCGGCTTGAGGTGGGAGGAGGGGATAGGTGGGAGGAAGAAGAGGTTAGGGAGGCGGGGACGAGCTGGACTGGTTTTGGGATGCGGTAGGGGGAGGGGAGATTTTGAAGCTCGTGAAATCCACATTGATACCATTGGGCTGCAGCATTCCCAAGCGGAATATGAGTTGTTGTTCCTGCAACCTTCGGGTGGCATCGTTGTGGCACTGCAGGAGGCCCAGGATGGACATGTCGTCTGAGGAATGGGAGGGGGAGTTGAAATGGTTCGCGACTGGCAGGTGCACTTGTTTATTGCGAACCGATCTGCAAAGCGGTCCCCGAGCCTCCGCTTGGTTTCCCCGATGTAGAGGAGGCCACAACGGGTACAGCAGATGCAGTATACCACATTGGCAGATGTGCAGGTGAACATCTGCTTGATGTGGAAAGTCTTCTTGGGGCCTGGGATGGGGGTGAGGGAGGAGGTATGGGGGCAGATGTAGCACTTCCTGCGGTTGCAGGGAAAAGTGCCGGGTGTGGTGGGGCTGGAGGGGAGTGTGGAGCAGACAAGGGAGTCACGGAGAGAGTGGTCCCTCCTGAAAGCAGATAAGGGTGGGGGGGGAAAGGGCTCACCTTTGTCCCCCTCCACCCAGAGATCAACGAATACCGCTCACGCTTGGAAATAGAGCAGTTTTTCCGCCGCCTCCGCCTCCACGCTTACTTCTTCAACCGTGAACCTAACCCTCCCTCTACTGACCCCTTCTCCCACCTCCAACACACCCCCTCCTCCTGGACACCACCCCAAGGCTTCCTACCCTCCCTTGACCTCTTCATCTCCAACTGCCGCCGAGACATCAATCGCCTCAATCTCTCCACCCCTCTCACTCACTCCAACCTCTCCCCCGCAGAACGTGCAGCCCTCCGCTCCAATCCCAACCTCACCATAAAACCCGCGGACAAGGGAGGCGCAGTTGTAGTATGGCACACTGACCTCTAAATCGCCGAGGCCAGACGCCAACTCTCCGACACCTCCTCCTACCACCCCCTTGATCATGACCCCACCCCCGAGCACCAAACCATCATCTCTCAAACCATCCACAACCTCATCACCTCAGGTGACCTCCCACCCACGGCCTCCAACCTCATCGTTCCCCAACCCCGCACTGCCCGCTTCTATCTCCTTCCCAAAATCCACAAACCTGACTGCCCTGGTCGACCCATTGTCTCCGCCTGCTCCTGCCCCACCGAACTGATCTCCAACTATCTGGACTCCATTTTCTCCGCCTTGGTCCAGGAACTCCCTACCTATGTCCGTGACACCACCCACGCCCTCCACCTCCTCCAGAACTTCCAATTCCCCGGTCCCCAACACCTCATCTTTACCATGAACGTCCAGTCCCTCTACACCTGCATTCCCCATACAGATGTCCTAAAGGCCCTCCGCTTCTTCCTGTCCCGCAGGCCCGACCAGTCCCCCTCCACTGACACCCTCATCCGCTTAGCCGAACTCGTCCCCACCCTCAACATCTTCTCTTTCAATTCCTCCCACTTCCTACAGACAAAGGGGGTGGCCATGGGTACCCGCATGGGCACAAGCTACGCCTGCCTCTTTGTAGGTTACGTGGAACAATCCCTCTTCCGTACCTACACTGGCCCCAAACCCCACCTCTTCCTCCGTTACATTGATGACTGTATCGGCGCGGCCTCGTGCTCCCACGAGGAGCTCGAACAGTTCATCCACTTCACCAACACCTTCCACCCCAACCTTAAGTTTACCTGGACCATCTCTAATACCTCTCTCTCCTTCCTGGACCTCTCTGTCTCCATCTTGGGCAGCCACCTAGAAACTGATATTCACTTCAAGCCCACCGACTCCCACAGCTACCTAGAATACTCCTCCTCCCACCCACCTTCCTGCAAAAATGCTATCCCCTATTCCCAATTCCTTCGCCTCCGCCGCATCTGCTCCCAGGATGAGGCATTCCACTCCTGTACATCTCAGTTGTCCTCGTTTTTCAAGGACCGTAACTTCCCCCCCTCAGTGGTCGAGAACGCCCTCAACCGTATCTCCCACATTTCCTGCAACTCATCCCTCACACCCTGTCCAC